GTACGTCCCGAATTCGTGTCCGGCCCATAACTTTGTTATTTGAAGTTGGATTTTAAAACTATTTCTCAGAAATGATCACCATATTGAGATGACGTGTCGCGCGTAACATTTGGGTCACTACCTTGAAGGTCAAGGTCACAGCATAACCTTGTGGCAAAATCGTGTCCGGTCCATAACTTCATTTTTAAAACTATTTCACAGAAATGATCAGCATATTGAGACGATGTGTCCCGCACAACATTTGGGTTGCTACCTTGAAGGCCAAGGTCACAGCATGACCTTGCAGCAAAATCATGTCCGGCCCATAACTTTGTTATAATATTTGAAGTCGTATTTTAAATCTATTTTAAAGACATGATCACCATATTGAGATGACGTGTCACGCGCAACATTTGGGTCGCTACTTTGAAGGTCAAGGTCACAACATGACCTTGCAGCAAAATCGTGTCCAGCCTTTATCTTTGTTATTTGAAGTTGGATTTTAAAACTATTTCACAGAAATGATCACTATATTAAGACGACATGTGGCGAGCAACATTTGGGTGTGAATTAAAAGGTGTGAAAGTCGTTTAAATCAGACAAAACATTGCATTGGGACCAAACATTTAGGGTCGCTTGTCACATATGACAGGGAGTCGTTTAATTCAGACCATTTGTATAGGAAAATACGTTGGGAGTACTGAAACAAGGTCGGATAAGACAGGGAGTCGTTGAAATCAGGGGGCCGCTAAGGCAGTCTCGACTGTACACAGAAATGATCACCATATTGAGACAACGTGTCACACGCAAATTGGGTCGCTACCTTGAAGGTCAAGGTCACAGCATGACCTTGCAGCAAAATCTTGTCTGGCCCATAACTTTGTTACTTGAAGTCGGATATAACAACTATTTCACAGAGATGATCACCATATTGAATCGACGTGTCACATGCAACATTTGTGGTGCTTCCTTGAAGGTCAAGGTCACAGCATGACCTTGCAGCAAAATTGTGTCTGGCCCATAAATTCGTTATTTGAAGTAGGATTTTACAACTTTTTCACAGAAATGATCACCATATTGAGACAATGTGTCATGCACAGCATTTGGGTTGTTTTTACACTTTGAACTTTGTCAGTGACATAACTCTGACACTACAAGAGATATACCTTCCTGTAAGCAAAACCTAGGGGAGCATCACCCGCTTCAACCGGCTCTTGTTGCATTTGGACAGTTGCAATGGACAGTTTTCATGCTTTATGAAGCACCACTTATACAAAAATTTAGCACAGTATAAGGATTAAAAGAAAAAATGATAAATTATGGCTAATGTGTCATATGGGAAAATCTGTTACATCAGTAATGGACACAGAAACAGATACTATTAATGGGGATATAGGAGAAACCAGGACAGTGTCTTTATTACACAGTATATGACATCAAATACTTGCAGATATTTGATCTAGTCTTGCAGACTGACCCGTTAGTGTAATTAGAGAATAGTAATTGGCTTTTTAGACATGTAATGACACTTGATATATTGTAACACAGTGTTGTCTGTAGCTGATAGGGTTGCATGATATTGAACAATACATCAAACAATTTACTGATTGCCTGCCAATGGTTTTGATGTAATGTAGGAACCCTGTAGGTATTGCTGTATACATATATTATACAAACACTTAAATTAGGTTCTTGCATACTCTGCATTTGGGAGATCAGTCTACTGAAAAACAATGAAACAATGGATTTTTATTTTACTAAAGAGAAATAAATTAACAAGAACACATCATAGGTCTTTGAGGTGAAGAGTTTCTCGATGAAATTATGTTAAAAGTAAGGACAGAAATTGATGCACATAAAAGCATGTAGGAGTTTTTTTATGGGTGTCTGCTTTTCTGACATTTATGTTGACTGGGAAATCACGCAAGGCGTATGCTTTAACATTAGATCAGAATTCCTGATAACTTCTTTATGAGCTCTTTCAGTTATATAAGGCAGGGTTAAGAACTTATTTTAGTAGAACTAAAGCATTGCATAAGCATTTTAAGGACAGGGAACAATAGCAAAATACTAAGCAGCCTAGGGCTCAAATTAAATCCTAGCAAACTCACAAAATGCAAGAAAAAAATGCAAGTTGCTTTTCCTTTAATTAAACTAACTGGTCTAGTGAAGTAAACAGGAATTCAAAAAATAATAATGTCCTAAGCAATTGTATTTTACCTTTTCAAAAAGCAATTTGGTATTGCCAATTTGTTGGGCTGTAGCCATTTGAAGCCAATCAGAGTAGGGCTTTTACAGGACTGGTGCACAAATCGTTAAACCATCAGTATTAATTTCATGGGTCTTTTGAGATATGTGCTTTGTCGATAAAACTTTCTTTTGGCCAATTTCACTATTGTAGGTAGGACATAGGCCAATAGAAAAAATGCATTTTGTCAATTGTTTTAGGTCATTTACTTGCATTATGCATACATTTGTCCTTTCAGTGTAAACCAAAAATTTCAAAAGTTCATTTTGGTTTTGTGAGTGGAAATTTCTCTTACTTTTGCAGATATGTAAATGCAGTACATGATAGTCCTGGTACTAGCTTTATAATCTTAGTCAGATTACATAAATGGCCAAACTTTAATATTCTAAAAAATAAGACTGCGTGATGACCATGGCAGATATTGAAGGGTAAAGAATGTTTTATGGAAGGGTAAGGCACGCTTTATTGATAATAAAAGGCATCAGAAATTGTGTAGTTGAGGAAATTTGTATTTTACTTTGGCCGTTATGTAATCTTTAATCATAATGCTATCTTTCTAGTGAAGAACTTAATATAATTTCCAGTCGGTATGATATTTATCATAAAATTCAATACTTCATGAGCTGTTTTTGGCATGCAAGAAAACAGATTTGTTTTTACCATAGAATAACACACATGCTATATTCTAATGATTAAATTATACAAGACAAGTATACAAATCAGTCCAATATTTAAGCCGGGCTCCAAATGGATTTCAGACAGAATTGTGAAGCAAAATTTCAGTTTTGTGTAAATATATTAAATGGATATCAAGGAAGCATTGTAACTCCTATGAATGAATACAGGTTGCCTCTACATTGTTAAAAGTGCAGAAAGAATAGATTGTAATCTGGTTGCTGCCCATTTATTGCTGCCCACTAAATACCATGGTTTATACAGAATTTATTTAAGTTTGTGTAGGAAGCTATAAGCTTATAGACACACTTTTGAATCCGTTCCTGGAATTAACCAGTACTGAGCAATGTGTGTAAAGTTTCTTGCTCAAGAAAACAACAACTTGCCCTTGACAGGGTTTGAACCCATGCGTCTAGCCATCACTAGATCACTAGTCCGACGCTTTAACACTCGGCCATGTTGCCACTTAAATATCTTAAATGGACTTTCTTTCAATCCAGATAAGATTTTAGTAACCTTGGGTCAAAACTTAATCACAATGTCAAATACATAAAAAAAAACAATGCAAACCTTCTAGAAGTCTCTGTTTTATTTGGATTTTATCAATTTTTGTTAGAATGATTTTTTTTTTGAATTTATAAACTTGATAAGTTAGACTCAGGTGAGAGAATAAAAGTCATCATGGCCCTCTTATTATAATTACCATATTAGTTTTTTAATGCCATCTTATAAAGATTTCTATTCTTTTTGTTGATAATTGTAAAATATCATACAAAAGTTTTTCTACCATAAATTTCAATTGCAGGTGTAAGCATAGCCTTGTTTATTCTGAGAAGTCTGTTACTGTATTAAATGTAGGCATCAAATATGAACCTTTTCACAACTCCTTGACACCAAGTAACTACTTCCATTGCCCAATTTTAATCATTAAAGAATTGCACTGGTTGCTGTAAGCTACATCAGCCACTTCCCTCGTTCAATTCTGGTTTGTTCTTCTATGTTAGGCATTCTCAGTATTTTGCAAGAAATTTATTCTCTTATTTTACATGTTGGTTTTTATCACATTTACTGTTACTTCCGAGCATACTGTATTTTATTGCATTGATTTTGTAGGAAGATTTAAATTCTACATGTTCTGTAGTTATAACATAGCATCTATTTTATAGAGAAAATTCTACTTGTTTTTCTGTATCTAAATTACTTTAAAATATCAGCAATTTTCTTTTATTACTTGTATTTAGATTGGATTAAATTGGTTTAAATACTATAAGGAGATCCACTTTATGTAAAGTAATAAAATTCAGCACTACTTTTGCACAATTTCTACATTAATTATTTCACATTCCTTTGTAATGGCATATATAGTGATATTAAGGGCCACCAGAGCTAAATTTAGATCTTTCTTCAAGTGACTTTTTTTCATTTGTTAACAGATGGATGGTAACAAAACTTAGTATAAAGACCCTACTTAACAATATTCATTGAAATTTGCTTTTGGCTCTTGGGGACCATGAGCCCATTTTATGCTCAACTTTTCAGAATGGGGCAAGCTTTTGAGCTCTCATCGTTGTTCGGGCATCACACTTTGGTTAAGTTTTTGCATGCAAAACTACCGAAGGGAATGGGTTGAAACTTCACACACTTGTTTGAAAGCATAGTTGGAGGTCAGTGTCCAAGGTCCATTACTCTATTATGGATTTTGACAGAATTATATTCCTTTTTGAAAATTTACATTATCAGAGACTTGTTGAGCATAGTGTCCTACCAACAGATCTTGTATAAATCTACATTTTTTCCTGGTGACTGGTGGGCGGTTAGTGGTTAGTCCGTCAATTGTTTATATCCAGCATCTTATGTTGAAATTGGCCATTGTGATATACTGCTGGGGGCAAGTTGAAATTAACTCACATTGTTCTAAGGTAATTTAATCTTGTACAACTGGCAGTTAAACAACTTTCTGACATGCGGAATTGCTCTCTTTCTCTCTCTCCTGACATGGCATTTAATTTGTATTCATTTACCTGTCCAGGGGGCAAATTAACTGTCAATGCTGATTCTGGAGATTGATAGAAATTTTTTTTCTGTATATCTTCTACAGATCGTCACAGAAGTTTCAAGCTCAAGTTACCGTCTCTACGGAAAGAACTGAAGTATAAAACGAAAAATGTTGACCAATCACCGGATCCAGAGAACCCGCCCATTCCGGAAGAAGCGGTTCCCCTCAACCAGATCTGCGGCTCAAATGATACAATCCCTCAGTCTAACTCTATTCATGCATCAACGAACATGATAACTCACATGGATCAGTCAGAGACTCGAACCTGTGATATTTCCGTTCAGAATGAGAACAGTTTGCTGGCACCAAATGTGCCGTCATCATTACGACGGGCATCTTCGTTAGAGGGCTTTGACATGCCAAAATCTCAAGATCGATATGATAAGCTTGGGGAATCAGGTCAGTATCGAATGAAAAATTATGACTTTATATTTTTTTGTTTGTTCTGTTGTTAGCAAGTATAGACCCAGATATAGACATATTTTTGGTTTAAACAAATATTCTTTGTGCTTTGATTTGAATAGTTTCAAGAAGTGTTTTGCTTCCCTTTTTACAGTCAACTTTTTCTTTCAGTTTGTATAAATAGATAAATTAGATTTGCTTAAAGAGTCACAGATCTTTATAACCCCTTATATAGGTAACAAAATTAAATCTTTCTCTAAAAACATTTTTTTACGCAAATTAATAAATTTCTCACTTTTCTGTAAAATAAGGTGAATTTACCATAATAATGATTTTCCAGATTCCATATAAAATGTGATCAAAATTAATGGATAATAAAAGAGGACCTTGCAGACTTGATCTTAAATTATCCTTAAGTTTCCATTTCACCTTTATATTTGCAGTAAGATCAAATTAAAAAGAAAATGATAAAAAAATAAGCCCACTGGAGACTTGTCAACCTTTACATGCTACTGACTTAATGAAATACCTTTCAAGACCATAATAGATGCAATCTGCTAATACTGCAATATCGTTAATTAGAACATTCCTGTGCAGTTCATTAGCGTTCTAATAATCGATACGAGAGTATATATATGTGACATGATGGTAATAACAGACTGGCTGGTGAAAAACTATTTATAAATAATGTATCTTATATCATACATAAGTAAATGTGCAGGATTTAATGGCAGATCAAAATAGAAAAAAAACAAAATTGGTTATAATCAAAAAGCAAATATCACCCTTTCATCATTATATACTAAGACAGAAAATCAAAGGGTAAATTCAGAAGTGTATTCAATGATTATGGTACTCCAGACACTGGCCTAACATTATATTCTACAGTTATATTTTGATCTAATTTAACCATTAAGAGTAGACAGAACATTATATAGGCCTTTAATTTAGTACTGGTTTAAGTGCATTATTACTAAACTACATCTTTTATGGTCATTTATTCTTGTAGCTTGGCTGAGTTGTATACGGCCAAATGCATATCCTGAGTTATTTTGTTTATTACTAAAATATATCTTTTATGTTAAAAGGTGGTCATTTATTCTAGCAGTTAATGGTTATTAATACATTGCTGAATGTGCATCTAGTGAAGTAATAAGTTATAATGAATCTTGGCAAGCTTTATCTGATAGGCATACAGAATGATGCTCTTGAAGTGTTATAGAAGAAATTTAAGGCTGTGATTTTTCAGATATTCACAGATATTAAAGTTGATACGTTTCTGACAGCTTTTGAAATTTGTGAATGAGATTTCAGTGAGTTCTAAGGTGTTGGATTTTCAGAGACTGTCATGAGGTTTCAGAGACTTTCAAGGTCATGAGAAGTTCATGGTCATGACGTCTTAGAAATTGTCAAGGTCATGAGAATTTCAAGGTCATTAGGTTTAAGAGATTTTGAAGGTCATGAGAATTTCAAGGTCATGAGGTTTTAAGGATTTTCAAGGTTATGAGAGTTTCAAGGTTTAGACTAGAGTTTTAAGAGATTTTCAAGGTCATGAGAATTTCAAGGTCATAAGGTTTTAGGGATTTTCAAGGTCATGAAAGTTTCAAGATTTAGACTAGAGTTTCAAGAGTTTTAAGAGAGTTTTAAGCCTTTATTGACTGATGTCTTTCATATTTGGTAGGTGGATAACTCATGTGGGTTATCCACTAACTTTTGTGTGAAGTTGGGGATCATTCGGGTCAAGGTCGCTGCATGGTGCTGGGATAGAATTTTATACGTTTGCTCTTATAGGATTTATGGACTAATATCAATGTAATGCTGGAAGTATTGTAATGACGTTCAAAGCCAAAGTTATCATGATTTACTCCCTCTTGATTATACTAAAAAGTTTAATTATTTTCATGGCTTCTCCTCAATATTTTATCTCTTTATTAGATTTTGAAGTTTCCTCATTTTCATGACTTCTTCTTTATCTATATCTCTATAAAGACACAGCCTGACTTTGGCTTCATAAAATGATTCTACAAATTGATAGTTGTTAAATAAAAAGGCTCTTAAACTTAATCTATCTGCAAATACATTGCATAGATACTACTGATATATCAACAAATTCCTATGGTAGACACTGCTATTCATTCTGTAATTCCGAGTCTTGCCCCTGTTTTAATTAAAACATATACCATACATGTATATGAAATTGACGTCAGACACCATTGTACGTGTTCAAGAGCCTTTACCATTCACATTTTCTTCGCATATTGCATTGCTCATTGTCAAATATTTAAACAAAAATACATTAATTGTGAAAATCAAAATCAGATATTATATGCGTAAATATTTCCATCAACACAAAAGCTGGGTGGAGGTTGGTGCGCCTAAAGGCTTGATACACATCACAGTCCTTGACAGGTCTCCTAAAAGAGTGAACAATACAGAGTCCATTAGTCAATTAAAATGTTTATACAGATCATGATTCCTTGCCTGTCACCATGCCAGATTCATTGTTAACTTATACAATAAACTCTTTAAGATATTTGATTTTATGTGAGAGATTGTAAAAAATACACAGTTCATATTATCCAAAATGGTGTTGAATGGAATTATGGGGATTGAGTAAAAATATATGATTCTCATATTGGCCCTCTCTTATTACTGTTATGAATTAGCTGTTAATAAAAAAGTTTGTTTTATTCAACTTTAATAATTATGCCCTTTTGAAAAACTTCTTATCACCCACATCTCCACCTAAAGCTTTTGTGACGGCGTATTTTGTGGCTTGTCACCCTTGTTTACAGAATTTTAAACATTTTAAAGATTCTTTGTCTTAACAAAGATGTCATTAAGTTATACTCGCGTAAATGAGTTATAATAAAGCAATGATAACTAGGTGATAACATGATATATTCTTCAGATGTTTAGTGTATTTTGCATTTGTTTAGTGCAATTTCTAATGAAGTCAGTTTTTGCTTTGGATTTGTTACCTTGAGGAACAATTATGTCCCTTTACTAGTGTGTGCTTCTTGTTTCAGCTCAAAGTGACATTACGTCAGGGGAACTAAATTTATCTAACAAGCTTTCATGAGGTTTGCGTTCAATGCCATTTTGTGTCTGAAAAAATACAGTTTAGGTGCTGACCAAACAAATTATTTAAAAATCAAACGTAGGAAAAGTATTATTCATAATTCATATAATTTTTATAGAAATTCAATTTCCCGGTGAAACTATGAATGTTTTAATTTCTAAAACCAACTTTTTATCCTTTTCAAAAATGAGTTAAGGGATATTTCTGCATATTTTGACAAGATATTTGTAACATATATTATGAAGACATTTAAGTTCCTTTAGCTTAAGATTGAAAACATTTTTTACTTTAAGTTTGAAATTTTCATAAAGATTTTGATGCAAAATCTGAGTGGTGCAGTAATAAAGCCAACTAAAAAGAAAAAAGAAAAATTACAAAATACATCCCAGAATCTCTGGTACATTTTTATATTAGTCTGATTGGCTGCCTGATACATTTTTCATCTCATTTAGGTAATAAATTCTATATACCATGACATAATTCCCTAGTGTAGATGGTTAGTTATTTTGGTTGTCTGTGGCATAATTGGTTATAAATCATTGATTTAAGTAAATGTTTACAGATTTAACAAGATGTTGGTAGTATGATGTAAGAGGGGGGTCGAGATTCTCTCAGAGTCATTGATCTAGTTGCTGCAAGTTTATTTATATATAGAGTCTCGTAGAAGTGTGTCAATGTTATGTACTGGTCACAAAAATTACACCATTATGAAAGAAAGATCTATTTATCGTTTTGATAAATGTTCAGACGATGTATCTGAGATTGGATTCCCATAATAAAGGAAGCGCTCCAATGATTAAATGTCCGGTAAATGCTGGTTTATTGTCGTAACACATATACATACACAGTTAATAATTACTTTGCTGTTCTTTCGGAAAAGTGGCGATTTAATGTTTTCGCATGTTTGTCCATCTGCTGATCTGTTTGCTTAGATGGTGAAATTAGTCTTAAGATGTTCAGTCGCTGACTTAATAAATAAATCATTATATGTTCTGAGAATTATCTTCATTATTGAAATTGGTATAGAAATTAGATTGCTAATACATGTATTGTGAATTCACTTAATTTCATGCAAATTTCATGATTTTGTCACAAAGAACATTTTTGTGGGTACATCTTCAATTTTGGGCTTCTTTATTTTTCAAAAAAGGTAAAATGTAAATAATGTAATGCAAAATAACAGCAAATGAAATGAAATTTGATAGATCTTAAATTTTTGGATTGACCTATCCACAAAAACTACGAAAATTGGTGCCCTCCAAATAATGATTTTGCAGTATTATATTATGACATAATTATATAAAGGTACTTTACGGTAGCTTTAATTGAAAAGATTTTTGAATACTTCCTTTAAGTTTTCTTTAACTTTTGCTAAAGTCATTATAATGTCCATAAAATAGGGTATATTTGTAAACATTTGATACTTTTGCTCTTGAAGCTCAACCATAACTGTTTTGGACGACAAATATCTTTAAAAGAAATTCATCCCCTAACCTAATAGAAATTCATCCCCTAACCTTAATTCAAGCTGAGCAGTTGGTCTTAATTTATGGCAAAACATAATAGAATGATACTGATTCAGAAATAAGGAGCATCAGTTTAGGTACATACATGCTAATGTAGGGCTGATATATTCTTTAAACAAAACAAGCACTATTTAAAATCCACACGCAAACTGTTAATGGGTGCAAAAAAGGTGGCATTGATGTATTCTGTAACATTAATGTAAGAATGGTATTCATTTCGCACTTGACAGCTTCCTGCTGGAGATGGGAATGCAATGCAACGTTTTCAAAGACATTGTGATTGTTGCTGAAATTTTGTATCATTATTTCCCCGCACATTAATGGAGTGAGCTTTAGTCTTTCCTCAAGATTAACATTTCCACAGGAGAACTGTGCTGGTATTCCGTGGA